AATATTATCCAGCCATAATAAAAGAATGACTTTATGACTTTGCCAGTAAATGGATGGATCTGGAAACTCTCATGCTAAGTGAAATAAGCCAATCCCCCCAAAAAACAGAGGCAGAATGTTCTGTCTGATATGAGGATGCTAACACATGGGGGGTCAGAGAAGACTAGAAGTTCAATGGATTAGACAAAGGGGAATGAATGAAGAGAAGGTTGGCGGGATGGGAATAGGAAAGACAATAGAATGAATTGGACATAACTTTCCTACATTCATAGATTAATGCACTACCAGTGAAAATCCACATCATGTACAACCACAAGAATGGGATCCTAGTTAGAATAAGTCATACTCCATGTATGTATAATATGTCAAAGTACACAGTACTATCATGTATATCTAAAAAAAATTAATTAACAAAAGATATCTCAGTAGAAAAATAGGGAGTGGTTATAAGCAAGAAAAAAGTCTAACATCAAATAAATATATGCAAAGGTACTCAAATTCACCATCAAGGAAGAAAATTAATGTAAGAACAATGACAGGACTTCAAAGCCATCAGATTGGGAGAAAAAATTAAGTCTGAGATTTTTAAATTAGGGAGAATGTGGAATATGGGCAATTTCTTTATTGCTAGTGGTTCTGTATTTGGTACAACCACTTTGGAAAGCCAATTGCAATCTAGTGAAGGTGAATATGTGTGTGCGTGTATATACACATACACGCACACACATGTGCACACACACACATTTATATATCCTACAACCCATTAACTCCTTGGCATATGTTCTAGACATAAATACATCCAAGAATATTCATTGTAGAAAAATAAACTATTATCTGATACTATCATATATGCAATTTATGAGTCTTCAAATTTTGTGTCTCTTCCGTAGAATGTTTGGTTCTTCTAGAGGCAGTAAGGGCTTTACTCTATAGCCTGAACTGTTTATTTATCATCTTGTTCAGTGGAGACCATAACATCAAGCCTCTAAACATAGCATTTCCATCCTAAGTTTTAGTAAATGGGATTTAAAAATATAATGAAATTTTCTTATTATGAATTTTCCCATGATGCAGTAATTCAGGCTTTATATTTGTCATGATTTATTTATGCTGCATTTATTAATTCCCACTACTGATTTTTCAGAGAATGCAGTTATCAGATTAAACCACTGGGTGGCGCAAATTCATGAGTCCAGGGAAAGTTCCTAACTTCCCAAGTTGCACCTATTGCTAAACTGTACCAAAGGAAGGAGGGCTAGGTAGAAGAAAAGACTTTTTGGGTTAGGCACAATATAATTCCAGCAATGGTGCATGCCTGTAATCCCAGCAACTCAGGAGGCTCAGCAATTTAGCAAGGCCCTAAGTAGCACGGCCCTTTCTCAAAATTAAAAAACAAAAAATTAAAAAAAAAGCTGAGGATGTGGCTTAGTAGTTAAGCAACCCTGGAATCAATCCCCAGTACCAAAAAGAAGAAAAGAAAAATCTTTGGACCTGAAGTTTCAATGTAAAATGGATCAATTTCCATAGATTGGATGATTGGTAAGTCAAGTCATTGAGTAAGGGAAAGAAAAAGATAGGGGAAAAAAGTGTTGGAATAATAAGGGAGAAGAGAAAGAAGAAGAGATATAAAGCCTAAGAGACAAGAATGTAAATCTAGAGAGACACATTCAAGTGTTACAGTATGGGTCAATAATTGCTGTATAGGTCCACGTTGATTTCCATCTTCCTAGCAACCCATGGCAGCTTTTATCTGAAAATAGAAATTATTTCATTCTCTTATAGAAAATCATTATGCTATCCTTAGCTACCATTTGATGTTGTGACATCATCATAATTTAAGTGTCCACTACTAACATGATACTTTGTTCATAGAAAGTAATATAGACAAATTAATATAGACACTACAGCTTCGTGGAAAGTATGCATAAAAAATGAATAGCAACTCAGAGCAACATGAGGGCCATTGTGTATATTCAGGAAATGAAATCCCTTTGGAGAGTGGGAGGGGAAAGGAGGACCATAGGACTCTCTTTGTCTCCTAGTCACAAATACATAAAGCAATTCTTCCTTGGAAAATGACACAAAGGAAAATGGTCTAGGTCAGAATATGATGGACAGTATTTAAAGGGGGTCTAAAATAAGAAGGGGTAGTTAAGGGTGGAGAATGATTAGGGCTGATGGCACCTCTGAGCCTATCCTTGCTTGCACTAACCTAAGGAAACAGAAAAGGAAGGACACTAAGTGCCTACTCAGGTCTTTCCAGAATCCTAGGTCACTCTGATTTTTGAGATCACAGTTATATCTAAAGAATGAAGAATGGCAAAATATATAAAATTGTTGAATATTTTAAGTATTTTTTAAATCAAGGAATGCTTTTAAAACAACCATACTATCGTGGCCATTAATGTCATTCAGCACTAACTTCAAAGTTTAAATTAGAGGTTTTGGGAATGTGCCTTCTTTGCCAAAGCAAATGTATACCTTAATCTTTGGACCTATCAAAAAAGTATTGGGGGGCACTGGGGTTGTGACTCAGCAGTAGAGTGTTCACCTCACACATGCAAGGCCCTGGGTTCGATCCTCAGCACCACATAAAARTAAATAAATAAAATAAAGATATTGTGTCCAACTACAACTAAAAAATAAATATTTAAAAAAAAGTATTGGGGTGACATAGACACTTTGAAAAGTTGGAAGGACTTCTAGGAACTTCGAAAACTTGAATATAAACACAATAAATATACCAATTGGAAATATGTAATAATACATTAACTGGAAAGGGGGATCAGGTTAAAAGTAGTAAGAAAAGTATGATATTGTGTAATATATATATGTATCTTTTTATCATATCTATATGTATTTATAAACTTTCTGTAAAGAGATATATCACTGTCAACAGTGGTTATCTCTAGAAGGAGAGATTAGATATAACTTTTAATTCTTTATACTTTCCATTATTTTCAAAATTTTTAAAAATGAGAATGTACTTTAATAATCAGAAAAACAAAGTATGACAACTTTGTAAGAAAGAATTTGCAATAAGAACCATACACTTTGCAAAGGAGTAATTTGCACTTACATAGAAATGTTTTATCAAGTTGYATCTGTAATGGTGACACAGAGAATTGTGCCTGGCTCTGAAGCAATCTGAGACTAAAGTCCACATCCCAGAGTCCCCATAGGAGTTCTCCCTTCTGAACTGCCATCTCTTTGATCTCTTACTTTTCAAGAATCTCCACTAGTGAGGGAATATAGGATTCAAAGTTGTTAAGTGACTAGGGAGTTAGAAAATCCACAGGGAGATTTTGCTTTGCCATGGGAAACAGATGTTCCCAAAGCAAAATACATAATTTTGACTCAGTGAATTTTTATAAAGAAAATCAATACAAATGTCCAAATTATACTCTTGCAGAAGAGTTGATAGGCATGGACTTTGCCACAGGTTTCTTCTTCTGGGAAATTTCATGTTTCCAGATTAAGAGACATTCAGTTGTGGTGGAAAAGGCAGAGACATGTGGGGATGAATGCAGGCATTAATTCTAGACCAAGAGCTTCTAAGAACATGTTTTTAATAATCCTCCCAATTGGTCCCAGGAAAAGCAGGCACTTTCCTCCTATTTTTTTTTTTAATATATATATATATATTTTTTTTTTTTAGTTTTTTTTTTCGGCAGACACATCTTTGTATGTGGTGCTGAGGATCCAACCTGGGCCGCAGTGCGCTACCGCTTGAGCCACATCCCCAGCCCCACTTTCCTCCTATTTTATGGTCAAACTAAATAATAAGAGATGGCAGGATAAACTTAAGGTGATGTTGTGATTCAGTGGCAGGGTGTAATGTATTTATCCGGAGGCCACACCAGCATTTTGTCCTTTCTGTCTGCCATATGTTCCAAGTGTGCTCTGTGGATCTTCAGAGATTCTTTAGTGCTTCACCAAAACATGACATCACCCATGCTTTTGTCTCCTCTGTCTCTTCCAGGTTCAGCTTGTTCCTCTGCTATTATAGTACAGTTTTGAGAATCATTTTTTGGACAGTATTTGAAGTGAAAGAAAGAAGAATACAATGTATGTATGGCTTCCACCAGAGAACTAAGAAAACAGAATTACATAGAAGCAGGCACATATCACCAAAATGAAATGGTTTCAGAATCTTATGAAAAGAAGCAGGCTAACATCCACCATTCCCTTTTCCACTTAAACACTTCTTTAAGATCAGCTGTTTCCACTTTCTCACCAAATTCTTGCTTAGGCAGGTCAGACTCCACTCACAGCTGCACCTCTATCGTCGTCATAATCATTCTGYTCTGGAATCCTTATCCAAACTGTATGTAGCACACTACTAAATTAAAATATRTATCAGACTCACTTTAGGAATTCTGGATTGTGAGGAGACTTCACTTGAGTCTGCAGTCTCTAAGCCCCTTGGGAATGACTTATGAGGAGGGCTTTTGGAATGAGTAGGGTCAAGTTCCCTTCACCAGTGTGTTGATAGCCATATGCAGTGGCAGAGGGTAAATCATAAAACCTGTGGACATTATTCTGGAAGAGCAGGACATTAGTTTGTAAGCTCAATGACAGCCAGTGAGCAGGAAGTCAGCTGTGAGGATAACAGAGGAGTTGGGATGTGTGCCACACTACCAGCTGCCTTGCCCAGTTTCTTGGAGGCTGTGTTTAAGTCTTTTGTCAAAGAGAGCAATGAGATCCATTCATAGTACTTAGAGGGAAGGCCTTTGTTTTCATTTGATGGAATGGAAAGATATCCATTTTCATGGACATCCAGAGTGAATCACAGAGGCTTGTGGCAACGTCAGTAGCAGTGTCCTGAGGGTAACTGCTCAGTCCAGGCTCTTCCTTCCCTGACCTGGCAGTACTGATGATAATGCCCCACCACCCCATGAAGATATAAATGTAACACTGGCAAGAATCTGCCCATATTGACTAATAATAGGGAGGAAACAGTGGAGAAGAAACAGTGTATTCATTTAGAACAGAATTTTTCAAAAGTATGTCTGGTGGATAATAGTAATTTCTGTAGTTTTCTTCGCATTTGATGAGTTAGGAATGTCTTGTCCAACCTAAAGATTGAAGGGAAATATAAAGGATAATGAAAGATATGTCAACAAAGGGATTGCTAAGTACAAAACCCCATATAATTCCAAGTACACTTCATTTTGCCTCTTCGTTACCCAATAATTACATAGAAAGTATGAAGAAGGTGCACATATGAATGAGAATTATAGCCCACTAGCAAAGTGCCATTCACCCCTTGCTTGATCTGTTTGCCTTGAATGGAAAAGGCCCTAAGTATGCAACTGGGTTGGATCCAAGATGCTTCAGGGATTCTGCTTCATTCCTGAATGAGGCCCAAACAATCTCATTTTGTTTTGAAAAGAGGCAGAGATTTGAACAGAGATTTTTGGGTCTGGCCAAATATTTTTAATAATCTCATTCCACACTCACCATAGCTGACCCCAGGCGCCATCAAGTTTTCTAAGTGCCTATTATGCTGTTATGAACATAATTATGATTTTTTAATCAAAGATTTTTCTTTCCAGTTAGATTATAAACATCTTTAAAACAGGGAAGCAGACACTCAGGTTTTCAATAAAATTTTGTGGACTAGATGAAGGATTTAATAAATATTAGTGTAGCAATTAAAAAACATGGATTCTAGTTCTGTTTCTACCAGTGTTTGTGACCTTGAGAAAGTCACATATCCTCTCTAACCTTCTAATTAAGTATCAGTACAACGTAGCTACCTATCCTGGCTACCTCCCAGAATTTTTGTGAGAAACAAATGAAATTATGTGTATAAAATTGCTACCTTATTACTGTTTTCATCCCCTTTTCATTCAGTAGCCTATTACGTTCATAGAAGTTCAATCCAAGTAGCTGCTACATGATTACCTCTAATTCTGAGCTGGATGTTGTTGTCCCCTTCAAGCCTATTTCTGTCGATATTTAGTAGAAATGATAATGTGGAGTAAAGAACTAAGCTATACCTTATTATAAAATCATGCTATTTGTATAGGATTATCACCTAATATTAGGAGAAAATATTAACCTAGGCCAGAGTTCACCAAGAAATTGGCAGTGGGTGCCTGTAGCACTGTGATAAGGAAAATTGTAATGCCAGGTCTGAGTGGAAAGAGTGCCGTGCTTGATTATTGACATATGCACTTGATGTAGAATGGAAGAGTAGCAGTATGTGTACCATCCTGAACTAGATAATCTTTGAGACTATTATCAATGCTGTAATTCTACAAAAGTTTAATTTTTAAAGCCTTGTTTAATTTTTAAAGCCTAGGGGGCTGGGTTGTGGCTCAGTGGTAGAGTACTCACCTCTCACATGTGAGACTCTGGGTTCAATCCTCAGCACCACATAAAAATAAGTGAATAAAATAATGTTTAAAGCCTGTTTGCCTTAGGGAACATTATTTGTCTTGAAGAAGGTGCCCAGCAATATCTCATATTGAAAGGCCAAGTCTACTCCTAGTGGGAAATATATTTAAAAGTTTCCATGCTGAACCAGTGGTATGGTGTCTATTTCAACCAAAGGGCACTATTAATTTATAACTGTGTCAGGAAACCCAGAGACAAGAAAAAGAAGAAAGCTGCAATGCCAAGTCTTCAAACTGTGTTCAAGAGTGGTGGTACCTAAATTTTGCTTTACATAAGAATCACCTGGGGCTGGGGATATAGCTCACTGATAGAGCTCTTATCTAGCATACGTGGACCCTGGGTTCAATCCCCAATACCATAAGGATAAAAAAGAAGAGTTAACTAAGGACAGGATGAATACATCTGTGAATTCTAAAGATTTTACAATTTGGGGGAGCCTTCTTAAAGAAGAACAATACAAATTTTAAAAGTACATAATCTGATGCTTGGCTTTGAACAGGGTCCATGGGTCCTGAAGCATAAGCTTCATTTATTTCACAGTAAATCCACCTATACTTAGKGACCTTTTAAAAAAAATCTTAAAAATAAGCTAGGCATGTTGGCATAGCCCTATGGTCCTAGATACTCAGGAAGTTGAGGCAGGAGGATGGCTTTAATCTAGGATTTTATTTTATTTTTTATTTTTGGTACTGGAGATTGAACTCAGAGACATTCAACTACAGAGCCACATCCCCTGCCCTATTTGTTGTGTTTTATTTAGAGACAGGGTCTCACTGAGTTGCTTAGCACCTTGCTTTTGCTGAGGCTGGCTTTGAATTCTCTATCCTTCTGCCTCAGCCTCCCAAGCTGCTGGGATTACAGGCATGCACCACCATGCCTGTCAAATCCAGGATTTTGAGACCATCCTGGACAACATAGCAAGATCTCATCTCAAAAAAAAAGAAAGAAAAGAAAAAGAAAATAAGATTCCTGGCTCCACTAGACACTGTGATTTACTTTATCTGTCCCCAGAAGTATGTATTTTCAGTAAGTATCTCATTGGATTATGAGAGTGGACTGATGTTAGGAAAATAGCAGTACAGATAGCTGACATATAGAAAAATTACCCACATTTGCTTTATAACTAAAGCAGTTCCCAACCTCCCTGCACTTATATGTTAATCCTGTTTTCTCTAAACAAATGACATAAACCACACAGTGAACACCTCCCTTCTCAGGCTGAGAATCTGCCTGGGATTCAGCTGCCCCAGGGTGCTGGTCTCCCTTCTTTTGCCTTCTCCACAGCTGCTGGCATTGGCACAGTCTTCTGGCTCCTAGGCATCGACTCTGAAGGAGAAAAATGACTGGTATCAACTTTCTTTTTCTTTTTTTGTGCTGCTAGGGATTGAATCCAGGGCCTTGTGCATGCAAGGCAAGCACTCAACTAACTGAGCTATATCCCCAGCACCTCTGGTATCGACTTTGGTTAGATGGCTGATAAACATTTGATTATCTTCCAAACCTCATGCCAGAACATTTAAAGGAAATCATCTTTCTTTCTTTTTTGTAGTACTAGTGCTCTACCACTGAGCTCCCAGTTCTTCTTATTTTTTATTTTAAGACAGGTTCTCGTTAAATTGCTGAGGCTAGCCTCTAATTTACAATTTTCCTGCCTCAGCCCCCTGAGTTGCTGGGGTTACAGGTATATACCACCATTGTGTTAGAACTACCCTTCCTAGAGAAGTCTTGCAGTAGTCAAAGGAACTCACATGGAGTGAGTGTCTCCTATGTGTCAAGTGCCTCTCACACAGGAGCTCTAATAACATGAATAACTGCATGCAAGGAAAATGAGTCCCATTTTGCAGATGAGGCAACTATAGTAGGAGAAGTCAATCAACTTTAACCAAACCACTTGGCTAATGAATGTAACAGATTTATCAAAACCCCAACGTCTGCTTTCCTCACTAAACCAAGCTGCCTTTGGAACAGAAGGAGGTCTTTAAAGATCAAGTCCCAGGACCCAATATACCAGCAAACTTACAGGGCATGGGACTTCAAAAATGACAAATATCATAATGGCAACTCCAGTGACCAACAGGGTGACAGCAATCAGAAATTTGACCACAATACTCCATTTCTGCCTTTTTGCTAGGTCCTCATCTGTGACTAAATGGAGAGAGAGAATTTGAATAAGGGAGTAGATTGACCCTTTGACTTGAAGTTCTCCTGGCTCCCAGACTAAGAAGGACCCAGCCTGACTCAGAAGCAGAGGCTATATTTCCATTTTAGACTCAGAATCAGGAGTGGGATGGGCACGATAGTCTCTTCTCTAACCTCTTTTGCAACATACACCCAATGAATCATTTCTCTGTATTTGGGATTCCATATCATGTAGGGCTGATTCTTGCATTCTTAGAGGAAGAGAAGGCTTGAATGCACAAGGAGTTCTAAGCTTTACCTTTCCATCTCAAGTCTTCTCAAAGTCTCTACCCACTTTCTCTGACACATTGTGTGGGATTAGAAAATCACCTTTTTTCTGTGCTTCTCTTGGTTTTTGTGGGTTATAGGAGGAACAAAGGTGAATTAGCATTGCTTCTGGATAAAAAACAAATCTGGGGTAAATGGCTCATGTGCATTTTATTATTTCTAATCTCATATTTACTTTTCCTTTGGTAGAATCTAGGATGTAATTCAGATTTACAGAATTCAAATCTTACAAAACTTGAGTGCTAGACAATTTAGAGAGGACTTTCTTTTTTTTTTTCTATTTATTTTCTTCCTCCCTCCCTTCCTTCCTTCTTTCTTTCTTTATTTCAAGTGTGTATATGTATGTGTGTGTGGTGATGAGGGTTGAACCCAGGGGCACTCTATCATTGAAGTACATCCACATCCCCTTTTATTTATTTTTTTTTTTGAGATAGGGTCTCCCTAAATTGCTGAGGCTGGCCTCAAAATTATGATCCTCCTGCCTCAGTCTTCTGAATCAGTTGGGATTACAGATGTGCAGCAACACACATGGCTGGGAGTGTTGTTTCTAAAAACAATGAGGATGAAAACATGCAGTTGGTTGGTATCACCACTGAAATAATTACGTAGCATTTAAATATTACCCACCTATGCATGCAGTGATTAGAATTATCCACCACATGAACTGAACTTACTCTATCCCCAACAATAGCTACACGATGAGCTCATTTGTGTGGAGGTAAAGGTTCATTGATGGCGTCAAACTACAAACATTTCTGGGACCTTCTTTATAGAGAAGCTAATTTTTACATTAAAAAATTGAATGATTTTTAAATGTAAAGTCTAACTTCTCAAACTCCAGGAAAATCTTACGAACCCATACTGATGTTGGGGCTAAAAGTATTTCTTTCATTTTTGTTTTATATTTCTGCTTATTCTGTACCTTGTGTCAAAGGGCTAGAAAAATCACCAGTACTTGTAGTTTTCTCTTCTTCTTCATTCCCAGAAGTTGTGGAGGTGGTAGTGATGGGAAAAGTCTCTGATGACGTCCTCATCATGGGATAGAACTTACATTGGGAGATCCCTGGCAAAAAAGCTATAAAACAAAAAGAAACAATGAAAGGACAACTTTCAGAGAAAATTTTATCTACCCTTGATATTACCTGACAAAACCCTTGTTCTAATCACCTGATAAACTTCTAACTGTGGCCCTATTGACCTGTCTGTCCATAGGTTTAGGGTGTGAGTATAAAATAATGCCAAGAATAAATGAGGATTATGAATTTGGATAAGAAGAGATAAGGATTAAGTCCTTATGGGGCCTTTGACTAACACAGGATCAGAGTAAAAGAGTAAGCCATATCTTATTTGCCTATCATTCTTAAAGCTGTAATAATAATAAATATGGAGGGTGTAACAGTATTGGAAGTTTCCTTCTTTAATAAAAGTGGCTCCAAAGTTCAAAGATGTGCAATATTATAATTTCCTGAATGGCTGCTGCAAATCTGTTTAGTGCATCCTTTGTTTACTACTGTGAGAGGGAATTGGGAAAGCAAAAGGAACCGGAAGATGGAAAGTCCACCCAGGTTCACATACTTCTCAATCATTTATTCAGCAGATGTCCAAAAATGAGTATCTATTATGTGCCAGGCACTACTTCAGTATTTTCTATATATTGTTGGATGCATTCTAGCAAGAGAGCAAGCAAAGAGGAGGGAGGGTTGTGGGGTGGGATGGGGGAAGCAGATAACAATGAATATAACACACATTATAGTATGTTAAGAGGCGATAAGTGCTACCAAAACAAAAAAAACAAAAAAACACGTAAAACAAAGTTCGAGGGATGCAAATGGGCAATAGGTGGGCAACCTGCATTATAGACTGTTTTTTTAAGAAATTGAGAATTAAGCCAAAATTTGAAGGAGTTGAGGGGATCCACTGAACAGATGCCTGGGGAAGTAGTAACCAAGCATATGGGAAATGAGAGAAAAGGCCCCAAGGCAGAATGTGCCTGGCATGTTACAGTTTTAGAGGCAGAGCAAGAAGACCAGTGAGATGGCATGGATTCAGCAAGGGGGACAATTGCTCCACAAGAAAAGGGTTAATATCACTTACGGACTCATAAGCTGGTTTAAGGATCTTGGTTTTTATTTGATTGAAATAAGATCTATTGTAAGATTTGGGGCAGGAGAATGACAGAAGTTTGTTTTGATCACTAGACTGCTGTGTTGGAAATGGTCTGTGGGGGGCAAGGGTAGAAGCTGGATAACCTGCTAGGAGGCTGTCAAAGAAATTCAAATGAGGGGTGATCCAGTCTAGGAGTGGAAGTGATGAGGAGCAGAAGGATTCTGGCTGTAATCTGGAACTAATAGCTTCATGTGCCTTCAGAATTGACCTAATCCAAATCAGATAGTGATTCTTGTCCATTTTGATGGTCTTATATAATTGCTTATTAAAGTCTGTAAATTCGATGTGACTTTTATAAATTACTCTCATATGTCCTAATTAAGTTCATGTGAAAATGATAGTTCTTCAGAGGCTGGTTGCCATAGATCAGGCAAGTAATAGTTCCTGATTTCAGTTGAATTAGGAAGACAGTGTGGGCAGAGAGGTAGAGATAGACTTAAAAATCAACAGGTTCAAAGGAAAAAAATGAAAGAAATTATGAAGTGATAACATATATGTTTATAAGAGAGATGATGGCTGGGGATATAGCTCAGTTGGTAGAGTGCTTGCCTTGAATGCACAAGGCCCTGGGTTCAAATCCCAGGTGAAAATAAGTAATTATCTCACTTTGGACAAGGTACATAAATTGTCTGAGTTTTGGTTTTCTTAATCTGAAAATGATACAAATAATACTTCATATACTTGTTTCTCAAGGATGTTATAAAGATCAGAAACAAATAAAAATGAGAAAGTGGGTATAAAAACACTTTGCAAATTGAGTGATATTATGATTGAAAGAAGAAGGAAAACCTAGAGATTGTCTCTTTAAGTGGAAGAATTCTGCCTTCTAACCACAGGGATAATGGATTTCATTGTGGCAGATGTTCCTTTCTCCTGGGAAACACTGCTTCAAATTCTACTAAATAGGCTTCATCTGTCAGTGTATTTTCAGCCTACCTTCTAAATGAAAGTCCATTGGCAGCTCATCTCTTTCAGGTCTCATCTGTTAGGTTATAGCACCAAAGTGGAGCAGGGAGTTTGTAAATAAAAACACTTTATTCCCAGTGGTGATGGAATTGCAATATTAGTTCCCCTCCCCATCCCCTATACTGGGGATCGAACCTAGGGGTGCTTAACCACATCTCCAGAACTTTTTTCTTTTTCTTTTTTTTTTTTTTTTTTACTTTTCATTTGGAGACAGGGTCTCACTTATTTGCTGGGGCTGGTCTCAAACTTGCCATCCTCTTGCCTCAGCCTCCCAAGTTGCTGGGATTACAGGCATGTGCCACCATCCCTGGATCCCAGCCCTTTTCATTTTATTTTGAGACAAGATTTCTTTGAGTTGCCCATGTTGGTCTAGAACTTGTGATCCTCCTGCCTTTCCCTCCCAAGTAGCTGGGATTACAGTCATGCACCACCACACCTGACTGGAAAGTTTCTCCTCTTAATTAATGTAGAATCTGAACAATAAGGAACTAGGAAATATAGACTCTGTCATCAGTGATAAAGACCTAGTGAGTAATTTTTCTCCACAAGAAGGAAATTTCAGAATATTTGTAACAGAGGGTCTTTCCTTTGACTAAATTCTATAAACAGCAACTGTTTCCTTCTTTCTATTTTTTCATTCTTTGTCCACCCATGTCTTCTGATAACATTGCAGAATATTCCCATCCTTATGGCTTCAAATTCTTGTTTTATCTGAGGATATTTTCATGAACTATCTTGGACATCCCCCTATGTAGACTTATCTCATCACAGTGCAGTCATTCAGAGTGCATCTCTTTTATGACCCTTGTAAATTTGTATTTACCTAATTTTTATTTCTATCCTATTTGAGATCTGTCACATACTGGTAATCAAATTGGTGTAAATTCAGAAGAAGCAGTTTCAAACTTATAAAAGAGGTTATGATTCAAAAGTTGTTTATACTTTCTAAAACTCTTGTTTTACATTGTTTGGGATTCATCATTATAGTTTTATAGAAATATATGGTGAATGATGATTAGGTTCTCAGACTACTCCTCCATTAAGTCTCTTCACATGACTCAAATAATATAGGGTCTACTTTAAATTCTGAATCCCCAAACCAACCACCCTCATGAAGGAAGGTTGGGAGGCTTGCTCAGGGCAAATTTTCTAATTAGGTCAGGTTGATCTTTGGCATCTCTCCTTTTCCTTAACCTCCCAGATTTCCTTGTCTAGAATTTCTAAGAACTAATGTCTTTAATTTCCCAGAGCTCCACAATGCATAATATTATGTTTATTCTACCCAAGCCCTGTAGACTCCAAAATGACATAGGCCCACTAATTCTCCATCATTACTACCATGGAATCAAGCAGGGTGTCACATGTTAAGAGGAACACAATCTGATTGAATTGATGTTGAATAACAGAAAGTCTAAAATCCTGCTAAAGGGTTTTGAGTTTTTAAGAGTTTATTTTTTTTCCATCATACAGTCAACACTGGTAGAATTTTAGAAAGTATAATAAAAGTGAATGTAACATTCAAGTCATGTGAGGATATATAATTTACCATAGCTAGGTCATATCCTGTGAGTCTATCCACTTACATCCCAATCTCTAGTTTTTAAACTTGTTTCCCTATTATTTTACTTGTGAATCCTTCAGTTTCTCTAAAAATGTCAAGTTTTATTTTTCCAGCAGTATAGCAGCAGCCTCTAAGGGATGGCCTATATATAAAGGGGGGAACTGTCTTGGTGAGAATATCTCTTGGTGAGAAACTACTTGACAAAAAGAATGGGTAGAAAAAAGAAAGGAGAGCAAAAGCAGAGAAACTGAAGACTGAGGTCACGAACCACTGCCCAGGCTGGACGTGGTTTGGCACACATCTATAATCCCACCTGCTTGAGAGGCTGAGGCAGGAGGATTGTGAGTTCAAAGCCAGCCTCAGCAACTTGACAAAGCCCTACACAACTCAGCGAGACCCTGTCTCTAAATAAAATATATATTTTAAAAAAAAGGCTGTGGATGTGGCTCAGTGGGTATACCTAGGTTCAAACCTCAGTACCAAAAAAAAAAAAAAAAAAAAAAAAAAAAAACCAACAAAAACAAAAGCCACAATACAACAACAACAAAAACCCTGCTGAGTAAATGAGGGGAAACAAGTATTCTCACACAGTGTAGGTGGGAATGCAAAATAGGACCATGTCTGAGAAGTGGTGAGAAGAACTTAGCAAAATCTTATATTTTTTTTCTTTTATTTTCTATGAAACCTTTGATGCAGCAATCCTGCTTCTTGGAATTTATCTTCTTGCTAATTGGCAAATACAAAAGAAGAGTGTACACTGTCATGGCCTACAGCATTGTTTGTAATGGCAAAAGACTGGAAAAACCAACATATTCATTAATAGAGGACTGGTAGAATAAGTCATGGTACAGCGACACAATACTGTACAACTGCTAAAAAGAACGATGAGGCATGAGCCAGGTGTGGTGGCATACTCCTGTAATCTCACAACTCTGGAGGCTGAGGCAGAAAGATCCCAAGTCTAGGAAAGTCTCAGCAACTTAGCAAGACCCTGCTCAAAATAAAAAGGCCTGGGAATGTAGCTCAGTGGTATAGAGTACCCCTGGGTTCAATCACCAGGAACACACACACACACACACACACACACACACACACACACAAAGAATGAGGCAGGACTGGGAGTGTAGCTCGGTGATAGCCTTGTGCTCAGCATTTACCTGGCTTGGCCCTGGGAACAATAGTACAATGTCCAGCACAAAAAAAAAAAAAAAAAGCAGATATAATGACATGGAACAAACTATAAGATGTATTGTTAAGTTTAAAAAACAAGGCACAGAACAGTATGAATTGTGTGCAACCATTTATGCACATTATTATTATGTACATTATGTACATTTATGTACACCCATACATGCTTAGAGCATCTCTGGGAGGAAATAGAATAGGTTGAGTAAGTGGTTTCCTCAGGGATAGAGAACTGGAGGAATAAGAGAAAGGAATAGAAGGGAGACTTACTTTTCACTGCAGTGTGCTGTGTGAATATTTTACTGTGTGTATCCAAAATAAATTAAAAATTAAAAATATTGTCAAAGAAGAGTTATAAGAAATGAAGATCATTTGAAAAAAAAAAAAAAACATAGGATACCAGGGCTAGAAGGGATCTTTGGGATTAGAAAATTGGTTCTCGGGCTGGGGATGTGGCTCAGGCGGTAGCGCGCTCGCCTGGCATGCGTGCGGCCCGGGTTCGATCCTCAGCACCACATACCAACAAAGATGTTGTGTCCGCCGAGAACTAAATAAAATAAATATTAAAAATTCTCTCTCTCTCTCTCTCTCTC